TAACTCTAGTACGGGAACTTGAAACACCAAATAAAGGTTTAAAGGTATTGCCACTCTTACGATGCATAATATTCTATCTATTGTCGGGTTATTTATGTACTATATCTTTTATTAAAATAAGTGGGGAATTATTAGAATATTTTAACAAAAGTGTACTTTTATGTCAGAAACAAAATCCCGCATTGACTAAATTTTTAAAAGTATTTGAGTGTGTGTGTGTGTGTATATATATATATATATATATATATATATATATATATATATATATATATATATATGTATGTATGTATGTATGTATATATGTATGTATATGTTAGTGTTATTTAGCTATTGAGTTAAGTAAAACCTTGAGACTCTCACGTTCAAAAGGGTGAGACTAGTGAAGAAGATACAACTTTATAAAATTTACGAAGCACACTGTACATTGTAGTCCAAGCCTAGCACGCCAAATAAAATAATTATGTAATATCAAACCCACTTCTGAATACTAAGGGTCTAACGGCTAGTTTTTCAAGAGTCATTCTTCTATTTAATTCTAACAATTATTATCTGACTAAATACATAAGTAATTACAGAATATCAACAGTCATATTTTTATAGTATATATTTATATAATAAAATACAAAGAGTTTCAAATCCATAAACTTATAAAATAATTCGAACGTCTCAGATCATTTCAAGATTGTTGATCCGATGAACCAAACCTTTCTCCAAAAATTTTTCCACCCATACACTCTCCAAGAGGCAGTAGGACAATGTTTTCAGACTTGCCTCTCGCATTTCTCTCTATGTCTCCCAAACAAAATGGAGTCTCTACTCTCATTGTCTCCTATCTCTCTCTCTCTCTCACTCACTCAGGTTTATTTTTTAAATTTACCCAATCTCCAGTCTATGTCTCTCTGTCTCTAGCATCTCTCTCTTACTCATCATGTCAATGCGAAAATAGCCTCTACGAAAACAACCTAGCATCTCTCCCTCACTCTCATCTCCACGAAGCAGCGGCTCTCCGGGACTGGCCAAACAAAACGCTAGTAACTCTGTTTCTATAGTAGGTTACCATCTTCTTCATCAACATTGTGTTTTTATGCATGTTTTGATATTTTCTTGGGTAAAGGTTTGTCCATTAGTTTCCCTTATGTGTGTTACTGTAACGCCCCAAAACCCATCGTGGACGGCATTACAAACTAAAAATCACTGACATCATGAGAGCAATTAAATAATTCATTCATAAAGAAATTTCATACATCAAAGGTAATCTTTACAATCTCGTTCCCAAAAGAATACGCCAAACATGACGAATATATCCCCAAAATAATATGATCCTAAAGTAAGATATTTACATCCCAAAAGGATTAAACATAAACTCGCAGTAGAATTATAAAATAGTCTAAACTTCACAATATTTCTAATTAAATTTCCTAGTCTAGAATAAAAATGAATGTTGTTCTAAGTGTCCACCTCAGGATCAACATGCCCGTCTACGGGAATCTCCCAGTGTGCCGACTCCTCAACTCTCAAATCCTCCTCCAATACATAATCTGAAAAATGTAGTTTGTAAGGGGGTGAGCACAAAGCTCTGTAGCAACATTCCTCCCAAACTCGAATAAGGTTGTGAAAAGTATATAAAACTTGTCGGTCACCTTTCACAAATAGCATATATGAATTTTGAAAGAAAATCAGGACATTTGAACAGATCTCAAGTTTAAGCAACAATAATAATTTAATGCATGATTGAAACCAATATACAACTAATAATTCATTCTACCATAAACTGTTTCTCCCAAGTTCTTGCGGAATCTCATACTTTCAAAAATTCTTGTAGAAACTATTTCTGGTACAATGAACAATAACTCACCACTATATATCTCTGGTATGAAGTAAGACCTCGCATGGATATCATCGAAAATATCATGGCCCACATACAATCCACACAAATCCTCGCAAGGTTGTCCAACCTTTAGGAAGGGCGTATGCCAACACCATGGCAGTGACGTATCCAACCAAAGAGTAGTATACTAACCCCTTTTTTCACGGTAACCCATAAGCGATAATGGTTTAGTCCTCACAAGGCACTAACCTCATTACGAGTAGTAGAAAAAGTTCTAACCCACACGGAGTAAAAAGGCGTCTACACACTCCAAGATACCCGGTCAATAGTAGCCCATGTTTATCCAACACTTACACAAGAGATACAATACAAACAATTTCCTCAAATAACAATAATTCCATAAATCCCCAATTTTACATGTAATGGTTCAATAGAACAATTGAATAAAATGCAAGAGATCATCATCAATATCACTTTAATACTCAACTCAAAGCACTATAGTTTCGAAATCAATAATAAAGAAAGAATTTAAGAAGAAGATATATCACTCTCCAAAAACTAGGGTTTTAAAACAAGAACAAAAGATTTCATGGGTATTTAACCCTAACTTTGTTCAAAATATGTAATCTTTGCATAAAAGACTAAGAGAGGATGATTTCATATCCTATATATAACATTTAGAGTCAATATATATATATATATATATATATATATATATATATATATATATATATGTTCTAGCATCAATGGACAAGAATGGAAGAAAATCCCCTACCTTGATGTTCTTGAAAAAACTAGGTTTTGATCTTCTTGAAGTTGAAATCTCCTTTGATCTTGTGTTTTTCTCTTCCTTTACTCCTCTCTAAGGTCTCCTAGGGTTTTGAGTGTTAAAATGGGGCTAAATGGGCTGTCTTTAAGTATTTATAGTGAAAGGAAAGTCAATTATACGCGACTTAAAATTTTTAGATTTTTCGAAGACCTTCCGGAAGGTTGTTCGTTGACCTTCCGGAAGGTTTGCCTATTTGACAAACCATTTTCATTAACCTTCCAAAAGGTTGTCATCGACCTTCTGGAAGGTTTTGTCTACTGGACAATCACCTTCTTTAACCTTCCAGAAGGTTTGTCTTCTGGACAAACATTTTCATCAACCTTCCGGAAGGTTTGTCATCGACCTTCAGGAAGGTTTGCCTATTAGGCCAACTTTTCCAGAGATCTTCCGAAAGGTTTTGCCTATTGGTTAAATCTTTTACCTTAACCTTCTCGAAGGTTTTGTCTGTTTGTCTACAAAACCTCCCTTTTCATTTCCAATCCATTCCAAACCTTTTCAATTCCAACCCAAGCTTATCCAATATGTTTTTGTACATCAAACCTAGTTGGTACAAATTCTATTACAACGATTTCTTGTATTTGCAAGCTAAACTAAGTTTTAATTACTATTTCCTCGAATTTCCATATTAACATTTCTAAAATAAATAATAACTTGCTACAAAAACCTATATACATATATAAAGATAAAAAAAGTGGAGTTTACAATTACAAATCGTTTTAGAAGCTTCTATCAGTTAACATAAATTTTAATTTATGATGTTATCGACATGAGAAAAAGCATGGAAACCAGTAGTGTGATTTGATCTATGCATATTTCATTGTTATAGGGATTGATTGTCTTGAGCAGGTATCATATGTAGGGGTGGAGCCAGGCAAGTTTTGTACGAGGCAACTTAATCCATATAAATATTCAAAATCCAAATGTTCACAAAAAGAATGTCATCGCCATCACTACTAACACTATCACCACCACCACCACCATTGTACCACTGCCACCATCACCACTACTGTCGCCACCATTACCACCACCACCACCATTGTGCTGCCGTCACCATCACCATCACCATCACTATCACCACCACTACCGTTGTGCCACCGCCACCACTACCACACTATTGTTACCACCACCTCCACCACCACTACCATTATGTCACCACCACAACCACCACCACCATTGTTGTTGTCACCGCTACCACCATTATTACTATTGTCGTCACCGTCACCATCACCACCATTACCATAACCACCATTGTGTTGCCGTTATCACCACCACCATTGTGTCGCCATCACCATTACTACCACTGTCATTGTCACCACCACCAACACCATAATGTTGCCGCTACCACCACAATCACTACCACCATTGTTGTTGTCACCACTACCATTGTGCCATCGCCATTGCATTGCCACCACCACCACCACTACCACTATCGTTGTCGATACCACTACCACCACTATTGTGATGGTGGTGATAGGAATAAGATAGTTGGAGAGAGATGGTTAAAAAGAAGGGTAAAAGTTGACACCACTTGGGAAAATTTTGACTGGCCAACATGTGAAGACTTCTTTATTAATTAAGAGTTTGAATATGAGAAAGGATACTTCATATTGAATATTTGTTTGGAGATTGGTCGTAGGCATTTAGCCTTGGACGATAGTTCGACGACATCGAAGGATTGCTCTATTTTGTGTCTTCTTCGAGTAAGGAGTTTTGAACACTATTAATTTTGTAATAGTGATAGAGTAAATACGTTCTTTTGTTGGCTTTTATTTCGACAATTTTGTAATCTCCAATATTTAATAGTGAAATCTTGTCGCTGTATTTTGTTCGTGAACGTAGGCTTATTTGTTGAATCGAACCACGTAAATCTTTGTGTTCTATTTTTTCTATTTCGTTACCTTATTATTTTGCTTGTGATTTTTTGGTTCATATCGATATATATTACGAAATAAAGAGGTGTGAGAAAAAACAAATTGAGTAATATAGAGATAATTAAATGTGGGGTTAGTTTTCAAAATCGTTTTTAGGAAATTTATTTACAATAAAAGAGTATTCAAATCTTTTTATATTTTAAGTGGACTTTTTTACAAATATTTTTTTTATGTACTTTTTTGACAATTAAATTTAATTTGTGTATCGAGTTCTAAAATTCTCTTTTAACGACACCACTTTAGATATAATTCATAAACAGGCCCAATGAATATGGCTTTTTGCATGTTAGGTCACTTAGAAAGCAAAATTCAATAAAATCTTACTTAAGAAGCATAGCATCTCTCTTTTCTCTTTTTTGCGTTGGACTCCCTCTCTCTCTTTCTCTTCGTTGCTCCGAGTGGGAGAAAGAAAATGGTGGCTCGGAAATTCCTCGTTCGCCACAATGATTCCGACTTCGACCTCGAATACGACACGGACGATGGGTTTGAAGTCTCTTTCTCCCCCTATTCTATCGCGGACATACACACACTGAAGACTTTGAACTTAAAGTTGAATCTTTTCTCTTATTTTTTTCCTTATCAGGTTCTCAAATTCCAGCTATTCTCTCTAACTTCAGTTCCTCCCAATGAACAAAAGGTCAATGTCTCTTTGTATTCTCTGGAAATGTGTGTATATTTATTTGTATTTGCGTAAGTGCCGATTGGAATTTGTATTAAATTGATGATCAATGGCGTGCTAAGATATTTGGCGACCAAGATGATCGGCTTGTATCGGACGACTCTGATCTCATTACAATCTCCAATAAGCTGCGGTTGGTGTCACTCAACGGAGAAGGCAAAGAAGAAGAAAGAGAAAAAGAAGGAAAAAATTCGGAATTAGAGAAATCCGACGAAGAATTCGCTCGGAGTTGCAGGTTCTCTGCTAGAATTTGAGGCATTTTGATTTCTTGTGTTAATGGGTTTTCTTTGTTTTTCTTATAAACAATTGGTTTTCTGTAGGCAGAGGAAGAAGCACTTTTGTTTCAGCAGTTCTCTGCCAGTAAAGATGAGGGACAAATGGAGAAGAAAATACGGCCTTATGTTGATCAGGTCCTAATGGTAATTGTTAAAATCACGATCTTTTTCTCATCTGATGATTTTCTGTGTATTTTTGTAAATCTCCGTATATTTTGTGAGAATGCGGGGTGAAAGAAAAAAAGCATGAAGGAATTTTTTATTTTCTTTGTTACTTTGTTCTGAGAAGTTGAGCCAGATGGCCTGCTAAGTGGTAATGTTGTTTGGTTGGTTCTATTACCAAAAACTTGGTATATTTTTTTCAAGCATTTGGCTAACCAACATAAAACATTTTATTTCCAAAAACTTGAAATCACTTATTAAGCATTTTCTGGTAGCCAAATATATTGGGCTTGGTTTTGGTTTATAAAGTACAAGGAAGAAAAATGTTGATATTAACTTGACATGGTACTGGTTTAGTATGAAGACTCACATCGTCAGGAGGCTGCTCGGAATACAGTGCCTGTGGAGAAACTTGAGGAGAAGGCATTAGTTGCATTGGCAAAGGTTGGACCCTGAACTCTGCCATCAGATACTGTGCATTTATACTGCCTGTTAAAGATTGAGGGATTCTATTCTTTTTTTCTTTTGTTTTTCCCGCTTAAAGGAAGATGTGAAAGGGGAAAGTAAACAACTTAAAGGATTTACCCATGAAGGCTATAGCAAGAAAAAGAAAGAGAGAAGGCTCGACAGATAATACTAATGTCCTTAGAAAGAAATTTCAGTTAGTGACTTGAAGTTGACATGGAATTAGTTGTTGGATTAAGCAGGTTTGACTTTTTCAGTTAAATTTTGTCAGGAATTTGGCGGGGTGGACCCCATAGGAGTAGGTTCTTGAGATGAATATATTATTTGATTGCCAAATATGGTTATCATGGATGTAATCCTAGAAATATATAAGAATTGTTGACTGTTATATTCATACATACGAACATGTTGAAATGTCAATTCAGTTAATGAATGAATATTAAAAAAATGGCTTACACTAGTTGTTTAAGTGTCATTGTTTTGTTCTTCTTGTTGTCGTTGCAGCTTTACAGGATGAGTGAAATAAAATTTCATATGGACATCGCAAAGGTATTAGGATTGTAGATATCCTAAGCGTCTCATAGACCGGTGTTGGATGACCCGGAACGGGGCGGTTTGTGATCCAGATTGCTCTAATTCCCGACCTCAAGTTGCATCTCAAACCCCAAATGGACCCCTATGAAACTCTGATACTACGTTTAGGTCACCGTATCCATAAAAGTACCGTATCAGATATGATACTCATCGGATACTAGAGAATAATTATTGGATACACATTAAACTTATCAAATAATTAATAAAATATTTGTTTATTTTTTGATATGTGTTGGTTACACATCACACATATCCAATAATTAATAAAATATTTTTTTTTATAAAAATTTTTGGATACATCTTCGACATGAATATCAAACATGAATATGCTTTGGATATAAAAATGGATACAAACAATACATCTTTACCCTTTTCTTTCGAATTCACATAAAAAAAATTCATATGACATTTAAGACACTTGAATGTTTCTGAAATACTAGCAATGCACAACATGCCTTGCACATGAATATATTTACATAGTAATTTTTTATATGAAAAGTTTAAATTATATTTGTAATTAAATTGAATAATAAAAAGTGTGGAATAATTAATTCTTATTGTAATTATGGTTAAAACTAATTATTGATTTATTCCACCTCTCTTTGAGTACCTAATTTATTATTTTTTAGTTATCTCCCTGGCCCTTTTAGATGTTTCCTATTTCAATTATAATAGAGCTTTATTATAAGATTGTCATTCTTGAGTATTTGCACATCGAATTGAAATATAGATTTATTATATTTTTTTGTCAAAGAGATTGATTAAATTGTAATACTATTATTTGTGTTATAATATTATGATATTGTTGCAGACCGATATTGGACTTTACTTCTTCATATAAGTATAAATAGATATGGAAAACTGTACAAGTCTAAAAGATTTAGAAGTCAAATACTACTAATAAAAAAGTCTAAAAGAACTTGGAAGTCAAATAGTTGTATAAAATAAAAATTGGATGAAATTAATTTTATGGACATAATTGATTTTATAATAATAATTAGGGATAAAATAGAAAATCAAAAGTTATATATATTAATAAGTAATATAGATCATTTACTATCACATATAAAAAGTGCATAAGCTGAGTTAATTACATCCAATTTCTTGACAAGTACTTTTAATTAGCTACGTTCAATTTTATGGCTATACTAAGTTGAGATAATTTATGCTTATTTGAAAGCAAAAAAGTTGATTGTTTTATGAATTGCTGCCAAAAAATTTACTAAAAATCACAATTATCAAATCTCAATAGTAAACTATAAAATAAATTTTATTGTAGGTGTATCCTTATTATATCCATATCCTATTTTTTTGAAGTTTTATTGTATTGCTGTGTCCGTATTATATTGTATTGTACCCGTATCTCGTATTCATATTTGTGCTTTTTAGATGGATCCACAATCCAAAAAATTCTAAATTATAATTCTAACCCCAAATTGTAACACCAATTGCTATTTTCTTTATATTGGTGATCCTTAAACTTTATAGTTTGATTTGTTATAATTTGAATTTTTTTCAAAATACAAATATGCCACCACTAACGTTTATTGTTTACAACCAATAACCATTAGTCGGTACTCTGGACGTTTTCTTAGATTATAGTTCGCTTTGAAACTCTTATCAGAACATTAAATAAATACTAGATGATTATGTGTATATGGATAGGTAGCTGTATATAACTCCATACAATAGTGAAAGTGATACAAATAAGTTATTAATTGAATCAAGACATAAAAAAACAAATCATCTTAGTTTACATCAATTGCATTGCAAATTGGGAGAAATATCCTATATCTCCTTATCATGTACCAAAGTGACTTGCGATCCAGGCTATAGAGGATTATTGAAGTCTTCTAAGCAATTGCATGAATTCTTTTTTTGTTTGTCTGGGAATGTGGTGTCTGCCTTATCATTTTTTAGGTTGTTACTTATGAAGCACGAATACTTCGTTAAGTTTGACATATTGGTATCAGATATAATACTCGTCGGATATGTATTAGATACACACCAAACAAGTCCAAAAATAAATATCTATATGGAGAGAAGTATGTGTAATTTTTAGTTTTAATCTTTACTCCTTTCTTGTGATTTCACATACAATGCAATTCATCAACAAAAAATCATGACTCTGAAGACAATGCACAGGTGTTTTCCAAGTATTATCCATTATCATATGTTCGACAACTATAAATGAGTTGATTACTCTATAATCTTAGCAACAAATACTTCTAATCAAACAATCTGGTTAAATGTTGGTTCTTATTCCTTTAATAAATCACGTTCATTTTGGAGATGTACCATAGTGAGACGATAGGTAAGTTATCTTCGTCCACCTAAGCAGGTTTATATTGGCCATTCCATAAGACCCACAACAAAATGTTTTTGTTAGAAGATACTATTCAAACATTGTGCTTGTAAACATGATTTTAGATCATCCTGGTTGTCAACTACGTTAAGATGAAATGATGAGTGTATCAATGGTGTTCGAAAGATATGAGGATTACTAGTAACTGTAGCGTTTGAATGATACTTGAATAATCAGCTTGTAGTTGTATTTTATCTAAAATACTCATCATTTTATCTGTGTGGTGAATCAGTCTTTTGGGCAAATTCTAGACTTTGCTACTTCAGTTCTTGCCGAACGCCTCTGCCCATATTTTTAAACATCAATTTATCTATTTTTGTCACCACTTTCGCAAATTAGTTACCATCTGCATGTATGTATTGAGCCGAACGCCTCCATAGGTTATGCACATATTTCTAAACATCAATTTTATCTATTTTTCTCACCACTTTCGCAAATTAGTTACCATGTGCGTGTATGTATTGATGTGTCTGCTTTTAAGATTTTTTTGCTAAAAAAAAATAAAAATGTATTGATGTGTCATATTAAGATTGATTGAAGAAGAAAAAAATCTGTAGAGTTCATTTTGTAGGGCTTCAAGTAGTTTGTTGTTGCTGCATGTAAATAGTTTTACCTCTTGAATTTCTGTAAAATGGCTCAGCGATTTGCTGTTCTTATATCCTGCCTATCTATTTTTAGGAGGGAAACTTCAAACCATCAAAAAGTGAACAGGATCATGCTTTTCTTCTGCAGTTGCTTTTCTGGTTTAAGCAGTCATTCAGGTCTGTTTTTTCAGTCTCCTGTCCTTACCTCTGGGATTTCCCCTTATACTTGGTGGATGGATGTCTTGTTATATCTTTTAAAGAAAAAAATATGATATTCTTTCTGTGTTAAGTGTGTAGCAATAAAGGATTCCAGTCTATGGCAGTGTAGGCTTTTCTAGAAATATCTTTGATTAGAAAATACCATTTCCTGTAGATGATAGATGAGCCTACTGAGTTGAGTTCTAATAAGCACGCCAACTTAGCAAAGTAGAATTTAGATCTCCCGCTTTGTAATCTGTCAATATACTTCCTTTCTCCATAGACAACATGGTGAAACACATGCCTCAGAAAGAGGGCTCTCCCCTCAACCTCTTCATAGGGAATGAATATGAATTGGAATGGAGGTGCATGGAAGAATAATGAGTCGTTTGAAAAGATGAAGCTGTAGATTTATGAAGAACAGAAAGCCTATTAAAGAGGCTGTGTGTTATTATAATGCCCTTCTTATATTTTTAGAGTTGAGGAACCTCTTCATATATTTTTATCTTCTTGTTCCTGTTGTCCATTGGGAAATCCCTATGTTCTCGACATGTTGACATGCTTTTTCATGAATGGAGAAAGATTAAAGGCCCCTAGCTGTATCTTTCGCATAATTGTTTGTAACGTTTGAGTTACTCTTGAGAAGAACGTTTTTTCGATTCCACTACACAGCCTGTACCAAAAGTGACATTATCTCATCATTCACTGCATCACCTTACCTTCTGGAATTAATGATGCTGTCTTATAAGCTATTTCTAAGCTTACCATAGTCATGGAGGAAAAAGCAATTTGCCAAGGAGCGTGGGCAGTTTTTAAAAGGTGAGTGACCAATTTGGACACATATTAGACGCCGCGGCGGCGGTGACACAATGGTGTTCAAGTGTTCTTCTCAACCACAAAAAACTGTCCAAATCCACATGATTCTTCATCAACCTCAAACACAAAAATCTTCTGATTAAGAATCTTCAAACAGAGGAAGTCATGAAATGACTAAAAGCAAAACAACTTTAGTTTTGGTAAGCAGATGACAAATTGCTCTCTAAACCCTGAACTTTTGAAATTCAAGTGTAGTTCACCTACATCTCTTCTCTCTCATATTTTAATACAAACTAAATTTTTTTATTACAACCTGGCAGTCAGTAACATTTTTAATACAAACTATAGTTAGTCAAAGCTGGCAGTCAGTAACACAACCCATACGGCAAAGCTGGCACAAGCTACAGTCAGTAAAATTTTCAATATTCAACTCAACTTAGCTAAGCTATACACAACTCACAAATTTTCAATACACAACCAGAAATGAAAAAAACCGAGATCTAAACTGAGATTAACAGAGAGGACAGGAGATCTACACCACAAAGCATCAAAAAAAAAATTACAACGTACAGATCTAAACTGATTAACAGAGAGGAAAGGAGAGAGATGAAC